ATTAAAACGTTTTAAAACCAATGGGAACAAGAATAAGAAATCTTTGAACGAATGATATAGTTAGTTCTCTCGCCGGAAACGTGTCGGAACATACCAATTACCAAGTCTAATTCGCGTTTTTTTTTTAATTTTCTTTTTTGCATAATGATGAGTTGATGGCCACTCGCTTGAATTTCTAATTCTATTAATAATAAATGCATATGTGCCTATTTTAGGCAAAATAAATACAGTTGGATATCGGAACAGTTATTAATTAACTTATTTGAGGTGTGAAAATCATTCTCTTCTTTTTGATTTTCATATCCTCATTCTCATTTTGTATTTCCCGAAATTGAAAAATTGATCCTTCTTGTGATGCCGAATCACAATAACTAACAAAGTGTTTTCCAGTTTAAAGTTTAACCACATGTCGGTTCAACGATTGCTTTTGCTTCTTCTTCTTTTTTTTTTAATAATTTTTTTGTTACTTTGATTTTACTTTATAATTGTTGTTTTTATGTTGTCCCAGCTGGTAAAATGCTAAAAACAATAATGAAAATAAAATAAAAATGGGACAACAATTATTATTGTTCAACAACTTAGTAAACCGGTCCAGTAAATTCGCCCTTAGTTTGCAGCTCCCTGATTAATCAGTGTCCCATTGTTATGCATATCATTGTGATCACCACACCTTATTAACCGATTCGAGATATACGAAGCACTTTTATATTGTAGTTTTGAATTTTACTTTGGGAGTCAGTTGTATAAAGAGTTCATAAACGTTTAGAAATCTTTCCTACAAAAGTTAATTATGGTGTTTTTAGTATTGTTTTAAAGCCAAACATAATAATCTGATTTATTATAAGATGTTGTGTTTCATCACATTTGTTATACATCCTCATCTCCATAATTATGTTTATTTTCTCAAAGTATATTGGTTTCAATCACTATTCAAATCATCATTCGATTTTATTATTTATATGCTAGCTCTTCTTTTTTTCTACAACTCATTCATCATATAATAGTTCAAATGAAAACGTTAACGCTGTTACTAATAATACTTGCTTTAAAATGTGAGTAATGAACTCGTTAAAAAAAAAAAATGTGAGTAATGAATGTTACTGGTTGACATGAATCATGATCATAATCTGAGAACAAAATATCAAAGTTAGGCGACGTGAAACATGATTGGGATTTGGAAGCATCAGGATCCCCTTTTTTTATCAGACACCTCCTTTGGGGGTTTTTGGTTAGGCTTCTCTTTTTGAGTCAATATATTAAAAATTTAGGAAAAGTACCACCATTTCCTTTTTATTCATTTGCAAAAAAAAAAAACACACACACACGGATGGAAAAGTTAAGATTAAATATCGATATAAGAATGGTGTTAAAGTGTTATTATCACGATAAGTTTTTGACTTTTTTGAAAGTTTAGTAGCAGCAGGGCACGTAAATTTCTTCCCAATGCGAACACGTCTGTATAATTTACGGTCGAAACTAACATTATAATCGGCCATTTGCACAATGTCTTTAAATTACTGATATATAAAAATTTATAGTTAATTTGATAGTAACTATAAATTTTTATATATCAGTAATTTGATAGTGATTATAATCGGCCATTTATAGTTACCATGTAAAGCCTGATATTTATAAATTTTCATCGTTGAATTTTGGTAATTGAATTATGAAGGTAATTAGTTAATAACGTATAGGATGAATATTTGATTGCTGGAAGTCCTCTATGTATATTGTTTTTGCAATTTTTTTTAATATTGGGTTTTCCATTCGCATCTTCGGAGTTGCTTCGTTCTCTCACTTTTTGACGTTCAGAGTTTGTAATAAATTATAATAAGAGTATTACGCCGACAAACTTTTGACTGTTTGAACAATCCTCTTGTACGACCGGAATTGCCAAATATATGTTCAGTTTGATATTCATTGAGTTAGGTCGATTTAGTCAAACTATGGCAGAATCAAAACATTTAATAGCTTGGCATAAATTTTATTCTTTTTAGTTACAAACTTGCTATAAATTTTCTTCGGTTAGAGAGATACACATATATCATATGTTAAAGAGATACTCATATATTATCATTTTGTCAAAATTACCACTTCTAATCCGCTAGAGTGCATAAATATAGACACAAAATTATCAACTGCTAATAAAAACTCGACCATAGTGAACAAGGAACAACGAAGGGATTTTAATAGGGTCAAATTTTCTAAAGACGCAACAAAATGGGTCCATATGTATATCTTCCGACAAGACATTGCTTTGATCTGATTCTTTGATGCGCTTTGTGACCTTTAAGCTGAACAACACCAAGCGAAGACAAGATGCTGTATAATTCCAAAAGGAGAGCAAATCCCAAAGCATACACTAAATATTGTTAATGGATCTTTTACAATATGCTTCCTTGGTACGTATAATTAATTAAAAAGTTGATATTGAGATAGTTAGTAGTTTTATGGATACTGGTTTCACTTTTGAACATGAAGATTTCATATTACTCAAACTAGGGTCTTATTTAGCAATTTGTTTTTATGATAAAATGTACTAGTTTCAGAAATTAACATCTGGTGTGAGGAATGATCCAGATTTTAAGAGATAAATGATTAGGGGTGTAAGAGAAGAACGAGCACGTGAAAGGCCAATCGCATTTATGTTCCACAATGAAAATGTCATATATTATCTGTGTGTGCAAAATATATTTATATAAAATTAATAGACACGATCTGAATTTCCATGGAGTGGGTTTTATAGTATTACCAATGTATATAAATTTATTATTGTTATGTTTGGTTTTTAATAATCAATTTGGGTCTTACTCAAATTGAGTGACAACTAACGTGACGTTCACGTTGCTCCGATCCTCAAGAATTTCCTAGGAGAGACACTCTATGGACCAACTTGCTTCACCTCCTCCATAACGTAGGACCTTACTTCAACCCCTCCATCTTCAATTTTACATTACTTATTTTGTTTCTTCTTCCTTTCTAAAAATAAACAAAAACAGCTCGATATTTTTTCATTGTGGCAAAAATTTCAAATGTTATCCCATTATATGTGTCGTACTTTTGACTAGGATGACAATAGTATTTGGTAAGCGACAAACCAAAGAAAAAAAAGTCAATACTATTTGGTACCGTTGAATTAACTTGATCTTCAGAGTTTAACTGGTCGTTGTTTTGGTTGAAGTCAAAAAGTAAATTTCTCTCTATTTAGACGCATTTCATTTTTGGCCGCTGTAAACATGATGAGAACTGCAATTCCTAGGGAATAGTCTAAATTTAAACTTACAAAAACTGATAAATCATATATTAGCTAAAAGAAAACATGAGAAGTTGAGCTAATTAACGTCCGTACAAGTTGAAGAAATGAAAACACGCAACATGTACACGGAATGATATTCCAGTCACTAAACGCGAGTTCGTGGAAGCTTACGCATTTGTGTAGTGTTTAGGCTTTGATGTGTGTCTCTTGTGTGCTGTTCACAAGTTGCAGACTTGGTCGATATGTACTTACGTTGTCCAAGTCAACGAAAAATCACACATTTTGGGTTTGGGTCAACAAAATCTTTATAATATCCATAAAATCTAAGACATGTTTCAAAACCGTACGTGACAATAAAATCAAAACTGTAATTGAATTGCTAACTCTTATCTCAAGATTTTCTAGTACTGTCTCTCACAGCAATGCATCTTTTACAACTAAGAAATTTTTGATCGCAAAATTACCGCAAAAACAAAAATACTTGTAAATTTAGCTACCAATGAAATTGTATATGTTTTCATATTAAAAAAAAATAGTTTTACATGGTTTTAACTTCTCTACGATGATATATATATTTATCTTAAAATTTGGAAACTTTGTCGTGAAGGATATGTATCAAATTAGGACAGACAGGAAATTAATTGACTGACAATAAAACTTCAAAATGTCAACAAAGATATTAATGGTTTACAGCAATGTGTGAGGAAATATTTAGTTGGAAAAAGAGAGTTTAATTTATGGGAGTCGTTACGTAGGTGCGTGCGTGTGGGCTTGTTTGTGTATGGGAGCGATTGAAACCAATGTTACATTATTATTATTTTTTGAATCTAGTATTCCTTATATTCGCTAACTAAATGTCGTTCTGATATTGTTTTTCTGTTTCAAGATAAATGTCGTTTGTTGAACCCAAAAAAGGGATAAATGTCGTTTTAAGTTTTTGATATAAATTAATAGATAATATATCAGTATCTAGTTTCAAGTCAAAACTAATATAAAAATGTATAAGATAAAACAAAATACGTACCAAAGTCAATTTGCTGCTTTGAAAGCGATAACTATTATGAAACGGGGACAACAATTATGAAAAAGGAAACCTTATAACTTAAGACACAATATTTTCTCTAATTTTTTGAAAAAAATATAATTGTTAAATTATAAACATATTTAGCATTTAGATTTGGCCTAAACGTGAAAGAAAACAATCTAACTCCGCCCCTAGGAAGGATGAATTATGTGATGATGGTGTATAATAAAGAGACTCAACATCGCAATAAAGATGTAGCATTTAGATTTGGGCTAATAATGGGCTCCACTCCTTAATGTTAGCTCCAATCCAATTTTGACCCCTTTCAATTGTTTTCATATCATTTCATCGCCCATTCCCTCTTGTTTCTAAATTGAAGGTGATTGATAGAACCAAATTTAAACCGATATACAATATAGTAACTCCATACTCCGTAGATAATTCTATTTTTTTAACAATGATTAAAAACAAAAGCGTTCACGAAATGAAAACAAAAGTGATTTTGGCGGTGAAACACCCTAAAGACAAATCGATGAGAAATCCAAACCCATATGCACAAGTGGATGGCCCATAATAGGCTTGCATCTACAGCCCATTCAATTTTCAGCCTAGAGGCCTAACAAACAAGCTCATCTGAAGAAGAGGTTTCATCAGAGAGTTGACTGCGAATTTTACCGCTAACTTTGGTTTTATGGTTTTAATAAATAAATAAAAATGGTGTATGCTGTAAATAGAAAAATAAATAAAATAAGAAGCTTTAAATACCTTTTGTTTGTTTTACAAATATTATTTGTAGTGGACAAAACACATGTTTCTAACAATTAATAATACATTTTTTTTTTTACTTACGAATCTTTTCTTCTTAATAGATTCAAACCACAGCTCGTAGAAAACCAAATCAAACCATCCGGTTCATTCGGACCTGCGAATTATGAGAAGGAGGAGCTCTGTAAATGGCAGGAATCGTTCGAGGGAAGAACATTTGCCTCACACCTTCTGCTTTTATTATCGGAAATATAATCCCTGAAGCACTCTGTTCCACAACAAGAACCAACAAAAAAATTCAAGATTCACAACCAAACCAAAAACTAGTATTAAGAGCATATAACGAGAAAACGACGACGTACCGATATTAGTCTAGCTCCGAGCCATAACCGTTTAACGGAAGGAAGAGGCACGAGCAAACGACCAACACCGAATATCGCCACCGCGAAGAAATGAAGCACAAGACTCATCGGCCTCGGGTTCAAACCGGAGAGCAAAGCCACCGGTCCCGACGAGCAAACACCACCGAGGCTAAGATAATCGAAGCAAGCTCGACGCATTTCGCTCCTCGCGTCATCAGGAGACGCCAAAAACACTTTGTAAAGAGCTCCCGCGAGCGTATTGATGGTCGAAGCAACAGGTTTTCGCAACGTGTAGAACGATTCGATGTACTTGGACAGCGACTCTTTGTCGGTTAAGTCGACGAGCGGGTTTAACAGATCGCGGAGGATGACGATATCGGATAAAGCAACGGTCATACCGCCTCCGGTTAGAGGATGACGCATGTTGAAAGCGTCCCCTAGAAGCAGAGCTCCGGGCGTAGGAATCGGATCAGCAGGCATGCTCCGGTTCGGCATTGTTCTTATGTTACCCTTTTCCACCGCGGAAACGAACGCGCCGCGGATTTGAACCGGCACCTGCGGCGCGACGGTTGTTTTGAGGTGGTTAGCCATTTCTCCGGATGCGACTGAAGGGAGTTTCGAGCCCGGTACATCGACTAAGCAACGGACTTCCGTGCTGCTGATTGGATAGAACAGAATCGGCGACGGATCTCCGAGAACGACGTGGCCGTGATTAGGAAACGGGAGCTCGCAGTTCTCTAACACAAGTCCAACGAAATTCGATGGAACTTCAACCTGATTAGAAGAGAGACATCGATTAAGTAAGCGCCAAGAAACATTATGGATAAAGGAAACGTTTCAATCGTTTACACACCTTAGGTTTGCAGAGAGAGCGGCGCAAGTTGGAGAAACAACCATCACATACGATGGTGAGAGGAGCAAATGATTTAAGCTCTTGTCCATCTTTTGTTTTGTACTGAACGCCTTTGATTACTCCTTTTTCTTCAACCAACGATGTCACTGTTCCTTGCTCCATTCGAACGCTGAATTTTTAGTATTGAAAACTCAAATTAGATTCTATAGCTGTAAGCAAAAAAACAAGTATCAGAAAAAAGAAGATCAAGACTTTTTACTTGGGAAGTGTAGAAGCTTTCTCTCGCATCCTCTGCACGAACCTCCCATTGTGAAAGCTACGACCCGCGACATCAGAATCAAACTGATCCAAAGGGTAAGAAAGTGTGGTGTGTTTCCCATCTTTGAAGAGAGCATAGCCAAGAACTCTCTGCGCATCTATCTCCTTCACACAATCTACAAATCAAGTAGAAACAGATCAATACACACAAGTAAGAATTGTAATAATCTAGCATAAAAGATATGATCTTTGTTGGCTGATTTGGTTTACCATCAAGCCCGAGTTCGATTAACTTCAAGTATCCACCTGGTTGAAGCAGTTCACCAACGATTCGATCAGGTTCGGTTAAGTCTCTTTCAATAACATGAACTCTTCTTCCTTCCTACATCACACACAATAGCCAAGGAGCTTTAAATTTGATTCCGTGACGGCAATGAGAAACCACAAATTCGCAACAAGCAAAACCCATTTCCCCAGGAATTCAGAATCACGAGGATTTTTCATATGTGAAAATATAAGACGAAAGTTAGCAACTTTATCCTTCAGATGAAGCAAATGTTAAAAAAAAAAAAAACTTTATCCTACAGATGATTATTCTCCGTATAGAAACCGAATAGCTTGTGTTGCAAGGATTTGATAAAGCTAGACGATGAAGTGTTTATAAACAATTCGCAAACGTTCAAAACCAGAATCTCCAAAATAAATTTAATAAACTCAGAATTGGGTAAAACTCGAATCGTGACGGAAAGAAAATACCTTGCCGAGGGTATGAGCGAGGGCGGCTCCGGCGACACCAGCACCGACGATGATAATATCGACGTCATTTCCAGATTTCACGGTTAGGGTTCCGTCGATTTTGCTCCCCAATTTATTCCTCCGATTCCGGCTCACGCTGCTACGGCGTCGCAAGAGGTATAGAAGCAGAAACGCTAATAGAGAGGCGAAGAATGTTGTCAGGATCAAGTGATCGACGACAATCGTCGGCGCCGCCATTCTCCTCCGGCGCTCGCAAGCGGCCAATCAATGCCGGTGATTCGAGGTGGGTTTTTACGAAACGACGCGTAGATTTAGTTGTGATGAAAAAGAGAAGGCAAACGAATTTTGATGATATTATTTCAAGCAAAGAGATTGTGGCTGTGAAGCGAAATCGTGGCTTCTTCTCTACTATGTCAAATTTTCATAATGTTGAAGGACGAAAAACTAAAATTAAAGAAAGCTACAATAAATACTTGAAGAAAAGTAGCAAACATTACAAACACAAATCATTTATTTTGAAAACTATGAAGTTGAAAAAAAGCTAGAATCGCTAGCATAACGTCTCAATCTAAACACATGACATATGTCGTGTGTTTTTAAGCTTTTAACCTTAATTTTTGGATGATGCCATTTTAACGAAAAGCTAATTACTACCATTTTTTTCTAAAAGTGATGGTTTAGTTTGGTGTTTATATAAATATATTAACCAAACCTATCGATGGCCCCATGTGACAACAATAGTAATCAGAAGAAGAGACGTGGAAGAGTATTGCCTTCATATTTCTTATAACAAACAAAAGTCACATTTCGACACAATTAATTCGATTGAAACAGAATATCTAATCCTAAAAAATGACTCATATGGACTAAATTTTGTTCGAATCCAACCACTTCTTCCTGCTAATCGACCACAAATTAACCAAAATTATATTGTTCGAAAAACAAAAATGAAATCGTACTATTAGATCATTCAAAACACTGAGAAACCCATAAACTTAACATACTCATCAGATTGATCACTCAAATCTAAACGAGTCGAATCATAAACCGGTATTTTATAGAGATCAATCAATCAGTTTTCGAGTAATTTATCAATAATCTGCCTTTAATGTTAGTAACTATAAATATATCACTGATATTATATAATAAAATTATTTTATAATTTTCAAATAAAATAGATGTTTGATATTATTTTGGTGATTTCATAAAAAAATCAGATATATTATAAATAATGTTATTTTATTAGCATCATTATTAAATGAAACAGATAAACTTACCTTTTGCTTACGATATCACGTGTGTCAAACAATTAAGAAAACTCCAGCTTAAATTGGAACTAAAATGCAGCAGCGAAGAAAACAACTATGAAGAAATATATTTAATGCTGATTTTTTCACAAAATCTTTGTTGACTATTGGTTCATGGATAATTTTGAACTAATTTCACTATAAGATTAATCATATATCTAAATGGTGAAGGATATCAAAGATATTTTAATTGAATCCAAACACAAAATAGTGCATAAATAGTTCATTTTTTGTGTTTTATGGTTTTTAGATGACATTTAGTTTATTAATAATTGCCTTTGAAAATTAAAATTAGCTGATTGACTACTTTTTGCAGTCTTTGCCATAAGAACCATCTTTAACAATATGACTTTATTGTCAAAGTGATATGAAACATAATTATTAGATATGGGTCATTTCATCTCCATGCACATTCTCTTTTCAAAATTTCTTACCTTTTCTTTATAAGAAATTAACATTCTAATCAGTCGCTAAAAGTAGCAAATCAGTTACTAAATGTTTACGTTTCGTGTAAATAACCATAGGCAAATTCATACAGTTATAACTATCCATGCTCGTAATACCACTAATAAGAAATCATCATTCGGTGTTACATCTTTCTAGTTCTCTCAATATACTTTGAATCACATGAGTACTAATATCCGATCTATTTATAGGTGATACGTACGTAAAACAAGTAACGAAGAGCGAATAGCAAAAGACCGATAATTGGGCCGTGGCCCATCTTCCGGGTTTAAAACCAACTCTTCCACACATATGAAAGACAAAAGAAAATGAACGTCCTTCACACGTGTTTTTTGAACGGCCCAATAGACAACTTTTTGCTTCCGAGTTTGGGCCAACTCATGCACACGTGTGGAAAACTGGAAAAGCATGTGTAAGAACATTACGTATGTAATCAATCACAGGTTCAACATTGAACCACTCATTCATTTTACCCCCACGAATGGGTTACAGTAATTTTGCTGCAAGCATAATTATTTCATAGTAAGTGTCTCTTAAAAGTTTCCAAGCAATAAATTCTACAACTTTTTTACAATATTTTTCAAAATAAACAACTAAATTTGTATTTATTTTCAAAAGTTCCCTAAATATCATGGAGGAGGGAATATTTTAAATTTTGGTGAAACTTTAGGGAAAAGCTGATACGGTGGGGTGTGAAAAAGAGACAAAAGGAGGGAATTTAGAAATGAGGTGGTGAGGTATGTTGGATTGTTGTGAAACGAGATGGTCAATAAAGCAAATCGCATTATTGGAGAGACATTACATATTTACCTTATTATTTCTGTGTACTTAAAAGAACAATGTATGGAAAAAAAATAAAGTGATATGAAACCTAATTATTAGATATGGGTCATTTCATCTTCATGCACATTCTCTTTTCATATTTTCTTATCATAACTTTATAAGAAATTAACATTCTAATCAACTGCCAAAACTAGCAAATCAGTAACTAAATGTTTACGTTCCGTGTTAATAACAATATGCAAGTTCGTACAGTTATAAATATCCATGCTCCTAAGTCCTAATAATACTAATAAGAAATAATTATTTGGTGTTGTTCAACCACATTTTCCTTGTTTTCTCAATATTTTTTAAATCACACGAATATGTACGTATATATATTTGTAACAAAGATCGAAGGAATAGCAAAAGAGATTCATTGAAATCATATGTTATAGAGAGATTCATTCTGTTTCACATGAACACTACTCAAAAGAAACATATACCGCTCCTAAGCAATACCATTTATACCGATAAACTAAACCGAATTAAAATTCCAACCGGATAAAACCGGAGATAAACAGAAACATTTGGCAGCTAAACCAAGAAACCATAGTTAGACATTAAATTGGATCAAGAATCAGCCCAGGCAGCGAAAACCGGCATCTGAGGCAAAGTAAGAGCAACGGTCTTAAGCTCAGCATTAGGGTTCGTAGTCCAAGGACTCAAATTTCCGACCACATTTGCTCCGAACATCTTCGGTCCAACTTGAGGCAGCGCGAAAATCGCCGGAAAACTCAAAACTCTCTCGGGACTAGTCACTTCTTTAGTGGTAACACCCTCAACGACAACGTTTAAAGCGGTTTGCTCGTCGCTGTTGTTGCGGACGACGATGCTGTTGTTGTTCCTTCGAGCTAACTCTCCAGACAAGAGTGTGTTACTAGACATTATGCGATCAACATCATACCTTATTATATCAAAGTTAGTCACAGCGTTTGTGCCACGGAACTTGATGGCTGCTACGTCATAGGCTTCTGCAGCTTCTTCTTGAGTTCCTAAAGAGAGTTAAAAGATTCCGTGAGAAACAAGCAAATCCAGAACGGGTTTTTTTAATTATCAAGAATCATCAGCGAAAATTACCGAAAGTTCCAAGGTAGAGATCTTTGTTTCCGGCGACTCTACCGATCCTAGCTTGCCACCTACCATGCTGGTGATGTCTATTACAAAAGAAACACAAGGTCAATATTCACATTTTCTCCAAATGAAATCAAAAGTATATAATATATAAATGTAAAAGGACCTTGTGACTCCTCTATATATGGAAGCACCCCTAGAGAAACCACTGCTTTTCCTTCTTAAGTGAGCAACATACTCTTGTCGAGACATGTTCTTCATGTCCTCAATCTCTTTCTGATAATTCTCCACCTTTTAAAACCCACAAAAAAATTCCATTAGCGTAATATTAAAAACAATAAGGTCAAAGAGAAATAAAGTTGGTGGGGGAAAAAAAGAAATTAAAGCAAGAGAAAATGGTTTACAGAGAAATTGGTGTGAGTAGAGGGACCCCAGTACTTGAGTGCAGCAAGATCATACGCTCGAGCAGCTTTCTCCTCCATATCATAACCTCCTATAAAGATTTAATCAAACAATAAAAAGCAGTCAAAACCCATCATTATTTCCCGAGAAAATTTAGGGGGAAATCATGAATTCATGAAGATTGAAAGTTTGTACTTACCCAGATAAACTGATAAGAAGATCATCAAATCATAATCACACATACGAAAGACAGAAAAAAAAAACAAATGTCAGTGACATATCTAATAAAAAAATATATCACAAAAGTTTCAATATTTAGCTTAACGACAAGTGTATAAGAATTAAACCTTGTCTTCCTTTTCTGCTATGACCTTCCTTCTTGAAACTATTGTCCCATAGATGAGCTTCATATCTACCAGTCCATCTATGTCTGTTTCAGATAATTAAAACCTTAGAATAAGTACAAGAAACTTTATTCCTAACCAAAAAAGTCAAATAATATATTAAAACAATACCTTGTAACGCCTCGGTATTGAGAAGTTCGTTGTCCGAAAGTATCAATAGATTTCCTATGAACAATCTGCTTCTGTCCAACAACCACAACATCCTCTTGTCCTCTCTTCTTCTTCGCAGCCGTCATTGTTGTTGCCTCAAATCCAACACTTGTCTCCACCAAAGCTTCAGAGATCTGATGGTGGTTTTGGTTTTGGCTCTGGCTTTGGTGGTTTTGGTTTTGGTGGTGGTGAGACCCAGTGATGCAGCTAGATTGTGAGCCAGGGCTCATGGATAAGCTCAGTGACTGCTGAAATTCCCCATATACCCCTACATTAAAAGACCCTCCATTCGTCAAACCAGGGTCATTCCCGTAATTTCTTGTTTCTTCCTCAGGGTGGTTTCTGGTTTGAGGGAAGCTAAAGAACTCTTGAAAGTTTGTGTTGTTGTTGGTCTCATGAGTGGTGTTGTAGAATAAACTATCTAAGCTAAGATCCATGGCTTCTTTGTGACTTGTGTTGTTGTGATGGGTCCCAAAGAAATCCTCCATCTTTGGAGATGAATCTAAAACAACCAAAAAAACCAGAAAAAAAGGGAAACGTTAATATAAAACAAAAATAAAAACATAAATCCTTAAAACAAAACATGTTCCCATCAAACAAGACACAGCAACAACTCCAAGAAAAAAAAAACTTAATGATTCTCAACTTAACGTTAATTAAATCACATTGCTACTAACCTTGATGGTGATGATTCGAGTGAGAAGATCGGTTGAGAGCTTCCATTAGGCAAAGAGAACCGTCAGATCTGAGTGGCATCACTGACATTTGAGAGTAGATTTCGCCAGCTGTTACTGCTGGTGAGTTAGATCCATAGCAAACTCCATAGTTGCTACTGTTATCGGCACCAACGAGCTGTGGTGGAACAGAAGATGAGGAAGTTGCAGCTGAAGAAGACGAAGATGAGTAAAGAGCTTCTCCTCCTCTTCCTCCCATTTTCATCATA